TATCTTGCCGGTACTTAGCTACGGAGCAGAAACCTGGAGACTTACAAAGAGGGTTCAGCTCAAATTGAGGACGACGCAGCGAGCAATGGAAAGAAAAATGGGTAGGTGTAACCTTAAGAGACAAGAAGAGAGCAGAGTGGATTAGGGAACAAACGGGGGTTAAGGATATCATAGCTGAAATCAAGAAGAAGAAATGGACATGGGCAGGGCATGTAGCGCGTAGACAGGATAACCGCTGGTCATTAAGGGTAACTGACTGGATTCCCAGAGAAGGGAAGCGGGTTAGGGGGAGACAGAAGATTAGGTGGGCAGATGAGATTAAGAAGTTTGCGGGTATAAATTGGCAGCAGCAAGCACAGGACCGGGTTAACTGGCGGAACATGGGAGAGGCCTTTGTCCTGCAGTGGACGTAGTCAGGCTGATGATGATGATGATGATGACCACGGTTATAATTTGACTTAACCACTGTGAACGAAATTGTGGTCGCTCTTGACACGATCATGTGGGGCCACGACATAACTGACAGAATTCCAGGAGTGCACTCATGCTCAGCACTCAACCAGTTGAACTGAGCTTGCTTTTCACAATTGCTGCAGACAAAATCCCAGCAGATGCAATCATACATAGCAAAGAACGGCATGACTTTAAAGGCACATGCGCAGCCAGTGCACGTGGATTGAATTTAATTCTGTGTCATCATGCACACATGCTGGTGTGTTGTCATGTGAAGTAATTCCGGCATCATATAAACTACTCCGTAACGACAGGACTTCCAGAGGTGGTGGCGTAGCGATAGCCATTAAAACATCAAGTTTTATGTTCTTGATAAAATTCCCGAACACGAAAGCTTATGGTGTAAATTATTTTATTCTGGCCAGATGATATTACTTGCTGGCGTATACCGCCCACCCAATGCTGCGCCCCACTATCTGGAAGCTGTTTATGACTATCTTTCGCATCACAAAAACTCAAGGTCAAACATAATAATAACAGGGTATTTTAATCTGCCGGGGATAAACTGGACTGACATGTGTGACGACAGCAGAGATGCCAGAAGTGTGGAATCGCTGCTTTTCACTGCGTTCAGTTTTTCGCTGAACCAACTAGTGACCGAACATAGGAGAATTGGGCCGTCGTCCTCTCTTCTCGACCTGATTTTCGTTGAAAATACGCTTCAAAATAGCACAGTTAGCGTAGAAGAAGGTATTTCAGATCATAAATTGCTTGTCCTGACTTGCCCTATCACAGTTATTCGCTCATCTACCAAACGACCATGCCTTTACGTAAAAGATTATGCGCGCGCAGGCGATGACAAAATATCAGATATATTAGAACGCAACTTTGACGAATTTAGCGCCCTGAACAGTGTTTCCAAATTGTGGACGCGTTTTAAAGAAATAATATATCTTTGCGAAAACAACTTCATCCCCCAAAGAAAGAAACGGGTCAACAAAGATTACCCATGGCTAACACGCGAGATAATTCAGTTGAAACGAAAACTGAAACGGCGACATCGCACAAAGGGAGATAAAAACGAAATCGTTGGTATCGTTGGCACTATGCGTGATAAAGTACGTGAAGCAAAATCACGATTTTACGGTGTAACTTTGCCAAGTTTTATGAAGGATGACCCTAAAAAATTTTGGCGCCACTTGTCAGAAGATAGACCAATCATTGTGCAAGTCAAAACTGGGAATAGAACATTGACTGAACCTAAAGACATTGCGAATCCGCTTAACAACTATTTCCAGTCAGTTTTCACAACCACTGATTCACAAGAGCCACTGGCGGCCTATCCTGTTGAGCAGCCTATGGAAAAATTATTTGTAAGTAAATAAGGAATATTACACTTTTTGAATAACCTTGACCTAAGGAAGTCAACTGGTCCCGACTCTATCTCTAATGCATTCTTGAAGCGATATGCTGCCTGGATTTCAAAATACATGAATTTACTTATAATATTTAAACTGTCTTTGGATACCTCGAGTATTTCTGATGACTGGCGTAGGGCAAAAATAATTCCAGTACTAAACTCTGGCTCTAAATTTGAACCAAGCAACTACAGACCTGTATCATTAACAAGCACGTGTTGTAAGGTGATGGAACACATAATTTTTAAATCTATTATCAGTCATCTAGAAAGAAATAACCTTATTTATAACCAACAATATGGATTCAGGTCTGGGTTGTCAACACTAACACAGCTGGCCAAAATAACTGATGACCTCGCCAACGCTGTTAATACCAACAGTCAAGTTAATGCCATATTCTTAGACTTTTCAAAGGCGTTTGACTTGGTCCCACATGAAGATTTATTCACAAAACTACAGGCTTTTGGTATTGATGACACCTTAATCTCGTGGATTTCCAGCTTCTTAATGAATAGAACACAACGTGTAGCCGTAAACACAGATATGTCCGATAGCCTCCATGTGTACTCGGGAGTACCGCAGGGTTCAGTCCTTGCGCATCTACTATTTCTTATTTATATCAATGATATCCAATTTTGTATCTAGTCAACAATCCAGATGCGGCTTTTCATGGATGATTGTGCCGTGTATACAGTTGTAAGACATTAAGAGGACCAAATCGGCTTGAATAGCTCTCTAAAAAATATTTGCGCTTGGTGCCAGAAATGGGGCATGAAACTGAACGCATCTAAAACCAAATGTCTCACATTCACTAATAAGAATCCACTTAATTTTTCGTACACTTTAGAAAATATTCAACTCCCTAAAAGTGATCAGGTGAAAAACCTTGGTGTCACGCTTTCAGCAAACTTAAGTTTGGAACCTCATATCGACACTGTCTGCAAAAAAAGTGGTAGGGAAGCTATCCTTTCTTAGAAGAAGGTTGTGAAATGCCCCGGCCCAAGTCAAATTAAATGTATACAAGACTCTTATTTGCCCTGCCTTAGAATATGCTGACATAATATGGAGTCCCCACTAACAACACCTAATGGACAAAATCGAACGCGGTCAGAAAATAGCTGCACGGTTTATCTACTCTAATTATTTACGGCATTCAAGCATCACTGACCTAATTAATAGAGAGAATCTTCAGCCACTTTCCAAACGAAGAATAATTTCTAGGTTAAAGTTCCTATACTTACTCTATCACGGTAATTTAAGATACCGCGCAATCTGTACTTACAGGACACTCACTAAGGACAAACCATAATAAGGTCATCTTTCAACCTGCTAGCCGTGTCAATACACATAAGTATTCTTTATTCCCAATGGCCATTAGTTTTTGAATTAGGCTGCCAGTCAATGCTGTGAATTGTTCGCTGGAATCTTTTGTCAACTGTCTAGAAGAGATTGATTTTTCTAAAAATGTATACATGTGAATCGTGAAGTATCCTATGTGTATCAATACTTACTTTCTTTTCTTTTTGTGGAGCATTATTATGTCTCATGTTACCTCTATGTATCCGCTCCAGCATGGGCCCGATTAGGGCCTGCAGTATGTACAAATAAAACAAATAAATAAACAAAATGGAATTACTGTTTTCTGCAACAAGGGCATGCAAAACCTTGGTAGCGGCGACAGAATTATTAGCCGAGAGCCCACGGCTATTGCAGTGGTAGAGGGGATAAAGATGTAAAAAATTCTAAACGCGTTTTGGCGTTCCTGCCCAACAAATCTAGTAACGTTCTTCCTGTCAGTCTGGGTACTTTGGCTGTACTTTGGAATAATGTTTTCAGTTGGCCCTAAGCTAAGCTTCAACCTGCGCTTTCCCAGCAGCCGGCTGCACCGTCCCGTTTGTTCAGGTGTGCCCAAAGAGAGCTACGCGAGTTCTTTTGACAAAAATGGATTTTGCTAGTTGTTTTAATGAGAGGAGGAGGAGGATACAACTTTATTTGAAAAAAAAAAAAATTCAATGTAAACGTGATTGGGCCCCTAGACATCCGGGCTGTCAGCCCTCTGGCTGACATCTCTAGGCAGGCCCGGTGCACCAGCCACAACTGGTCATCCGCACCAGTGACCCTAAGAGCGGCCTCCCACGAGGAAAGGGAAGAGTTAGGAATAGGGTCTATCACCACGGGCTTTGGGCAGCTCCATAAGTGATGAGAAATATGTAGAGATACCAGTATGTTTGCCCTGCTTTGAGACTCGCACCTTTTACTGTTGTTGGGAAACCCTACCCTTGGGTGTTCAGCCACTCCAAGCCTGTGCAAAACCGCACAACGCCGATGTTTACTGACCACCTCCCTCACTGTTTTTTTTTTTTCGACTTCTTTTTTCGTGCAAAAAAGAAAAAGGGGCAAATAATTCAGCGCGATACCGCCCCTCTTCCCGCTGGGGAAATCTTCCAGATTCAGAATCTTTGAACTCTGCTGGTATTAATTGGCATCGACCTGACAAACTCCTCATTTTTGAAACAATAATTTGGCATGAGTTGATACGGTTGTGTATTTCAAAACTGCATGGGGAATTAAGTCTTATGGCGTCAAATCAGGAACAAACGATGTAAGAGACTCGTGATGCTCTTTGGCACTGCCTCCTTCCCTATTGTACAAGCGGTGAAGCTAGTGAAGCTAGCAAAAGTAAGCTATAGTGCAGATTGGGCATGTTTGTTATAATTACAGTATGCATGTACTTATTAGTGCAATATAGATGAGCCAATTTCCAAACTTAGAGTAAAAAGTTTCAATGTCGCGTGGCGCTTTCAGTCCTTAAAGTCTTTGACAGGTCCTGGAAAGTCCTTGAATATACTTCACTTTTTGCTTTAGAAACCTATACGAATCATGAATAACGCTATTGTGCAATTTAGCTTGGTGTTTGTAAAATGCAGCATTGAACAAATGTTACTTCCCAAATACTGTGAAACAGAGTTGCATCTGATCTGAACGTTCTGTATGACTACTCTAAACTCGCTCAAAAAGGCCTTTCTGACTGCTCCAAGTCTTCTACAAAGGCATTTGCCTGCTGCCAAACTGATGTACCCTGTTCCACCTCTTTTCACCAACACTAATTTGCCCATATCCGATGTGCAGGTTCTTCGTGCCATCACAAAAATGGTGGAAGACTGGGTTAAGAGCAAGTCACCATTTGCAGTAAACCAGTCACCAACACTGCGGGAAAAGTCGATTCTCCTCGTGAAGATGATGCAGTTCATGGAGAAGCGGTTCCCTGATGAGCTCGAGCTGAATGGCCAGTTCCTGGAGCTGGTGAACCACGTGTACCGAGATGAGACCCTCAAGGGCACTGAGCTCACATCCAAGCTAGAGCCAGCTTTTATGGCCGGCCTTCGATGTGTCCAGCCAACAATTCGAGCAAAGTTTTTTGAGGTGAGGCTGTATAAATGTGGTGTATTTCACGTGTTTTCTATTGCATATTATCTGTGGAAGTGAGCCGTTCTAAATTATCTGCAGACGAAGCATTTCACCAAATATTAAGGGGAAGACACGGGTCTTAGAAAGCCAAAAATCGCAAAAAAATCTACTTTTTGAAGCTGGCGTTTTTGGAATCTGTACCTATTTTTGCACCTATCTGAGAAGTTTCTCGCATTATTATTTCTGGCACAAAATCAATTTATAACATCCCTGTGAGATGAATGAGATCGCAAATTGACGCTAGTATCGTGCTTTTTCCTTGTCAAACTGTTGCCGTTACACACGAGCTAACGTGTTCATCTTGGTCTCGTTTCGAAGGGTCGTTCTTCATCTTCAATTTCCCACCATCGCTGGCTCACCTTGCTCATTGGTTCTTTAGCAAAAACGCGTCATCGAGAAGCACTAGCACGCGATTCAATTGGCTGCTTGGGGCACGTGACCAAATTTAGGCATCCGATTGGCCAAGGGGTGCTTTGGGCGTTTGCTTCACCATCGTGACGCGCACGGACATGCTGCCATTTTGTCATAGTGCTACTGACTGCTTGCGGCAGTAAAGAAGTTCTGTACTACAGTAATTTGTGAAGCGGGTTTGGCGGTGGTTCGTTCGCTGTGAACTTCAGAAAGATCCCCGCTATGGCTCAGGACAACGAGGATAACGAACTCGACGTGGTCAACGGCGGTCGCAGAGTCACCGGTGTAGGCCTAACTCACGTACGAGCCCGTTGGTGGACGGCAAGTAAAAAGCAGAAGTGAAGCTACCAGAGATATCAATCTTTGTAGTGACGGAACGGAAGTGCAGTCTTATCGCTAAACCCACCGATGTTGTGGTTCCCCCCGCCTGACGAAAGGACCTTGAACTGCTCGACGGGTCGTCAGAGTGGAGTACGCCGCGCGTCGACCGACAACAGAAAGTCAATCCGTTCGCAGTGAACATGCTCGTGGCTCTCGCAACGGAGGCTACTGGCAACGAGAGACTGCTTTTAACGACGTGTTGGCAACGTTGTCGCGATCTCCGCTCGAAAATGCGGCAGTCTTACTTGAAAAGGAAACTAACACCTCGGCACTCGTGTAGCCTCGAAATCGATGAGCGAGGGAGCAACTTTGGTTCGCGACACTTACGGGTAACTTATTCTGGACAAGCCGGAAAACATCGCCGCGTTATTCGACGGATCGTGGATGATGCACGCACATTTGTCGCACATCGCCGTCAGTACAGTCATCGAACTGATAAGTGGCCTTGCGGCAGACAAGCACACGGCGACAACTTGCTACAAGACTAGAAGAAACGACACGCTCGTACAACCAATCAGTCCCATTACATTCCTGGTGCATATTAACCGACTAAAAGCATGTGTGCCATGATATTTTTCGCTTGAAACGGCGAAATAAAGTTTTAACAGCATTATTCTTGAAGCACAGATTTTGACCACTTTCTTGTGCTTGTTCGGTAAAAGTGGACCTAGGACAGCTATAGCTGTAATTGTTTTTGCACAATGTAGCTAAATGTGCACAAAAGACTAATGCTGGGAGCCTTTTTTTAAAGGGCAGATTCATTTTTTATTTTAAAATAAAAATTTCTGTATTTGGTTACTTGCAATGAACTTTACTGTACTGTAATTCGAGAAGTACTCGTTCACTTTTCGATCAACTTGCAGCGTTGCACTCCTTGGACTTTCTAGCATTCATATATATGTCGATGGCTATGTAATTCTAAGTACATACATTTTTACAGTTAAAATTGTTAGAATTCTTTGTTTTCTTTATTTTCTCAAAATGGCAATTTCGTACACCCTGCATGAAAATTACTGCAATATATCGGAAACTATTACAGATAGCAGAATATCTTTTTTGCAGCCTGAAGCTATATGTTTGGAGCACACAACATAGAAAGCAGATTTCGATTTCTCTTGATGCAAGTTTTTAAAAACAAGTCTTGTGTGGTACCACACATTGGCCACATTCAGAGCTGTGAAGTTTAGTGTACTGTAAAGTAAGAAACAATGACCCAAATAAAAAAGTGCTTCCTATGTTGTATGTCATACTTTCTACTGTCGATCCCTATGTCATTTATAAATTATGGACAAGTGGTTATTTTTCTACTGTGGTAAGAACAATAGAAATTGTTATCTTTAATTATTTAATTAACTAATGAAGCAACAGAAAAGATAACTATATTTTTAGAATCAGGAGAACAAACTAAGTAAGCATGCTAACTTTTGTCACATTTGGTTAAAAAAATAAATGAGAGAGCCTAAGAGCCATGTCCCCCCTTAAGGGGGCACATGGCTAGCATATCCTGAAATATCTTGAAGAATGATGAAAAAGTGATTGTATGAACATTGAATTTGCAATTTTTGTAGCCTCATATCTGTTTGATTCCTAATTATCCTGACTAAAAGCCATATAGAAGGGCTTTAACAAAAAATCTGCTGTGCCTACCGAGGGGGTGAAAGTGATTGTGGAGAGTGTGCTCAACAATTGGACAACCGGGCGGTGCCATACCTGCCTACTTTCTCGAATTTTCTGGAAGACTTCAAATTTTACCTAATCTTTTGATTTTGTGCTCGAATCTCCCCAAAAAATGGCTGCCACAGCACAGGCTTTCCTTGTTGTTTTTTTTTAAATCCTGCGCTTACGTCAGTCTTTCTTGCTGCGACAGCTGCGGAGCTGCACAAGAGCACTTTTCACTATGCTTCCTGTTTATTGTAACAGCACCATAGAGTACCGCTAAGTGTATTTATGCAACACTGTGTTTGAGGCACTGTAGTAACGCGCATCAAGGCGAAGATCGTCTTTGTTTTCTTCTACGAACCACGGAAACCTCTGCCACACTGTAGTATCTCCTAGTGGGGGCCCACATACGCTGCTCTCAGAGCGAACGGACACAGCTGACGCAGGCAGACCACACCAAACAATGCACATTTATTTAAGGGGGCACATGGCTTTGGGATCGCGAAAAATGGCAAAAAAATTGATTTTTTGAAACTCAAGTTTTCAGTTTCTGGAACCCTTTTTCTATCTGCTTCCAGAATATCTACACTGAAAACCGCACAGAAGTGCTTCGGAAAATTCGTTTCACCCACCTAAGTAGCAAAACTTTTTCTGGAAATGGCGAGAAAACGGCGATTTTCAAAAAATTATACCTTCGCGATGCTTTGGCCGGGAGCCGGCTTCTTGGGCTCATCGGAAAGAGCATTTCTCTGTGTTTAACTTTCCCGCCTCAGCTGGCTCCTCCCTTTAACAACAAGCGAGCAAAAAGAAAATGTTTGAAGGTCGTTTTGAGGCCCTTGATTGGCCGTGGCCGCCATGTTGCCTCAACTCGCCTCGCCATTGGCCCGATGCTCGCTCCGGAAGATCGTCGTCTGCTGCTTGTGCGTCGCGAGGACATGGCTCTCGAAAATCGCCACTTCGTGACGTGTTCACAGCTTGATAATCACTTAAGATATAACTACGCTTTAGTTACAAGCAGTAAGCGGATGCGCGATAAGCTTACCACGAGCGGGAGCGCAGTCTACGAGCGCCGCGCGTCATCGGAGTCGTCTTTAGCCCTAACTCCGCCAACAGCGAGACTGCGGGCAGGAACGACGTGCTAGCGCATTCGTGGCGACGTGCTTCTTCGCAAGCAACGAAGCTGTGTGCAGTGTGCAGCGGCACGTTCTGATTACTACGAGTGGCCACACCGGATGCACGATCAGATTACTACTAGCGGCGCGCAGCGGTCTACAAGTGTGGCGCGTCATCGGAGTCGGCTTTAGGCCTAACTTCCGCTGACAGCGAGACTGCGGGCAGGAACGACGCGCAAGCGCACTCTTGGTGACGTGCTTCTTGGCAAAGAATGTACCACATCACTAGCTAGCTCCTCTGAATCTCGTATGGGCATTTGCTCGTCACCCCCCCCCCCCCCCCCCCTCACTGCCAAGGATCGCTCGGAACAGCGGCTAGCAGTTCCGCCCGTCGTCATTCGAAAATGCGATGTCAAGTGCAGTGCGTGCCGATTTTTTGTCTTCGTAGTTACACATTTCGCGCATCGTCATCGAACGCCGCCGGCTGTCCACACGGCCGGGCACCCCACGGTCATATGGAGTGCTGTCAGTAAGCTTTTGTGATGCGATTCAGACGTGCTTGGAGCCGTGCTTGGTATCGCCAGGAACGTCTACGAATGTTCCGAGGTTAATGAATTGCTGTAGATTAGAGTTTCCGCGACCGGCTGTCTGATGATGATACGTTTCACGGCTAGAGAGGCGAAAGAGCATGTGTGAATCAGGGGCACGAATTTTTATATGCCCGTTTCGTGTCATTAATTATACTGCTAGAAATTCCCGTGCCATCAGTCTTCCGCCCATAACTTTGTTATTTAGAAAGAAGGCATAGGCTGTCATGGTGTGATCCATTTTTCTGATGCAATAAACTTCTCTCCAAATAAAAAAAAGTTCAGTGAATATTTGTAATGAAGTACTTAATTTTGCTAATTACAACTTCAGCACAAAAAAGTATGTTTAATAATTTCAGTATATGGTTTTATTCAATTACAATCTTTTCTGTCATACCTATCACACCACTCCTTCATACAAAGAACTTGGTTTGAAATCCATACTTGTTCTTTGTAAAACATGAAAAGGAAATTATGGGGGGGGGGGGGGGAAAAGGGCAACTAAGGCACACTGGTCAGAGACCAGATAACCTGAAAAGTCAAATATCACAAGACAAACCTAAGATCACAATCTTTAGGTGTTTTAGAGACGTAAAAAGAAGTTGAAACTTTAAACGAAGTTTTCTCAATACTGTTTTTTTGGCATTATACTCAGCTCGTGGAGCAGATATCTGGGAAACCACTGTACGGATTTTGATTCCGTTTATTTTGTAATGCACCTTGAACTGTGCTTCAAGGGGCTGCGATCTTAGTTTTTCATTTTACTCCTTAAAGAATTTTTCATAGAGTTTCTTGTTTGTAGTGC